GTATCAGAGTAAGTTGCAAACATTACTACTCTTCTGCAATAAATAAAACGATTGGTTTTTGACTTCTGTCCTCTGAATTTTTGCCTGACTGGGCTGTGTCAGCCCACCCAGGTAGACTGGAGATCAAAGAGAAGCCTTTGGCTCTTTCTATGGGTGCTTTATCCTCTCAATCCCTCATCCCCAGGCGCTGACTCTTTAATTACAGTGATGCTTAGTCTGTGCACTTAAGTTCCTAGAAGGTAGAAAAGGAAGTTTTTACAAATCCAGTTATCTTCTAAACTCTAGAATTTGAGATGGAAAAGACTCCTGCAGGTAGTGCAGGTGGAAGAGTGAAAAAAAAAGTCCCCTAGACATGTAAGCAATATAACCTGTGTCTACATATCCAGATTACCATATATTGGACTGACTTAAAGCAAAACTGCACCTTTAGTAACATAGCGGGGCATAGAGAATACAGATGGTCTCTGCTTTTGGATACAAAATATTCCCAGAAAGACCATCACCACTGTCCCAAACTGTAAGAGTTAGAGGCAGAAACTGCAGTGGGGGAAGTTGGTGAGGAGTGAGGTAAAGTTTTTTAGCTGGTAAATGGATATTATCAAAACCAGAGATTGCCTTACTAGGATTTACAAAACAACTATTACTGCATCTTTTTACTGTGTGTAGTTTTCAAGCTTAAGGAACATGATCCGCCATTGTAATAACAAGCCTGGGTACAATGGCGTGCTATTAAGGTTTGTTTTGCCTCCATTTTCATGTCTGTTGTTGTATTTATGTTTAAGTTTTAATTGATGTTTTGACCATGTGTTTGCCCCGAAGAGGTTTTGTGAAGGCCTTCATTTTTAAATAAATTTTTAAAATGATATATTTAATGTACAGTAAGCAAAAATATCCTCCTTAATGTACCCAGAAGTAAACTCTTGTCCGTGCACTAAAACTTCATGTTAAAATATCTACCCAGTAGCACCATAAACGAACCAAAGACGTTATCTTAGAGACTTGACAGAAGGAAACTCAGCTTGGGAAGAGCCAGTGTAAGGAGTGAATTCTCAGATCCAGGCATTGCCTGAACAGTGGAAGGAAGGAGAAGACTGAAGCAGCTGTGAAGTGGGCAATACTACATAAGCTCATGATTAGGAACAGCACGTGAAGGAGAAAGCCTTGCAATGACCAGCCCGAGAAGGCAAAAGCTGACCTATTTATATCGCTCCACTCAACATAAGAGCTGGTGCAATAAGGAAATGAATCAGAGGAGAGAGGCAGAGAAGTTACTTTAAAGTGTTATCGTCTGATTTTTACAATGTGGAGGCTCTCTGAATTTCTTTCACTGAAGACAATTAAGTGCTCTTGGACCTCCAAGGATCTTAGAGATAAGAGTGTGACCGTCCTCGCCTTCTGGAGTCAGTCTCTGGAGGCTGCACAGCAAGGATGGAAGACTGTCGGCTCCATGGGTTACCTGAGTGATGGAGGCTTGCCTCTTTCTCAAGAGTCAGGCAAATGCATCTCATTTTAATTTGAGCCTCAGACACAGGGAAGCTGTTTAGAGCAGCTACTTATCTACTGGCATGAGGCTAGTAAAAATAAGTGCTCATTACTTTCTATGTTGCCACTCATATAACCTTATAGGAATCCTCTATGGGCTGGTAAATTGTGGTACTTATCTATAAGGCTGTTTTGCGACCAAGGAATCTACAGGGCAACTATTATACTAACACTTAAATCAATCTTTCACGCTTATAGTTCTCTCTCCAAGATATTCCGATGGAAGTAGGCATCACACAAAGGACAGGAGGAAAGGTGTAATTTAGTAGAAAAGGATGAAAAAAGAACAACACTTTTCCTTTTAACCAATGCTTTCGGAATGAGGTATTTAAAGAAAAATCTACCAAAACGATGGCTCAGTTAACAAGGAAAGATAGCTTCCTTCCATCCCCTCTGTTTACACATACTATTGTTTCAGTCCCTGATGTTTTGTTTACTTTGGAAGGAAATATTTTACCCCCTCTGAGATAATTAATTTTTGTCAGCTTCACTGTTTATAAGGGAAACTGAAAAACTGTTAACTGAAATACAGAATGAGTCACTGTTTTCAGTAATTTTTGGCAGCATTCTAATTTGTGTCAATCCCAGCCTAATTATTAGATTTTTTGGAAGCAGAAAGCATATTTGATTTTCCTCTTACTAAATTTTTCCTCCTCTTTTGAAAAATATGTGCTGCCTGACAAAGGTTATATAATTTATATCAATGTGAGGTGAAATACCAGCAGGTTTGAAATACCAGGGGGTTTACTGTGTCATGCTTGGCTCTTCACAGTAGCTCAACATTTAGAAAGCTCACAGGATACAATCTTCCTCCTTTCCTCATTCACACCCCCAGCCCTGGCCAAAACAATGTGATTCTTTTAGAGACCTTTTAGCTGGTATTAAGCCACAGTATATGGCCCATCACTAATGACATCACTGAAGTAAACTTCCCAGAAGCCATCAGGGAGAATTCATTTGGAAACGCAACTGAATGTCACTTGCAAAGGGCAGGCTCCTAGAAGAGGTGACCAGTCATGCATTCCTGAGTTATTTGTTATAAAAGCATTAATCACTGTGAACTCATTTGCTCCTAATGCAAACGCGCTACACTATTCCACAGGAATTCTGTTCCAAATGATCATTAATGTAGAGAACGGAAGCTGCTCTGAGCAGGGATAATAGAGTCTGTCAGGTCAATGGCCAGCATAATGGGGCTGTTAGTGGTTCCTGACAGAAGTCGGACCTTCCTGATAGAGCGACGGTGGGCAGAAAGGCAGGCAACTGTACTGGGTAGACAGCCCCCTCCCTGGCCTCCTGAAGTGGCCTCTGGATTAAAGGAGCATCAGTGTCTATCACAGGGTATTGCTAGGGCTCTGAGGTGGCCACCACTGGGAGCGTAGGCACCAGCTGTGGGCGGGAGAGGGACCCATGGGACGGCCATGGGGAGGCCCTGCTCCCACACTCCAGCCGCCTGCAGGCCACAGGCAAGGGTGCAAACAGACACCTGGTGCTGTGGACACCCCAGCCGCTTGCCTCACCCCACTCCACACTGGGCCACCAATGAGGGGAAGGATGAGAATCAAGAACAACAGTGATCACCACAGCTAATGCTCACTGGACGCTCTCCTGGGCTAAGCATTAAGCCCTTTACATGCACTAATCCCAATCCTCGGGGTAGTACCTCTGTGACATGTGTACTATTTACTGCCACGTTTTACAACCGAGGAGGCTGAAGTTCAGACAGATTGAGTAACTAGTCCAGGGTCAGATTCAAAAATACGTGCCCTTACACACCACGCTCCTTTACTGGAGGGAGAGACAGAGAAACTGGAGACTTTGATCCCTAAAATTAGGCCAAAGAAAGATGCAGGATATGACAGTGGGCCTGGAAGTCTTTCCATTGTGTGGTCAACCAGTCAGTATATTCAGGACCAACCTTGTAGAAAGTCTGTAAAAGCTGTGGTTTGTCCACAATGCTCTTCCTCCGAGCTTTGCTTCTAAAATGTGGGTACCCAGGGCCTTCAAGAAGCCTGACTGCTCTGTGCCACTGAACTGCAGGCTCCCTCTGCCCAGTACTGCCCTATATTTAAGACCTGTGCTTCCTCATCCCACCCCTGCTCCATTAAAACTTGTCGCATTTCTTGTCATCAGAGGCTTCTGATCTCCTGACTGGACCCAAGCTAGCACAGGTAGAGCAAGAAGAAGCTTCCACCTCCTTGGATGCCTCTGAGCACCAGACTGGTATGACTGACAGCAAAGGCCAGCCAGAGTCAGTACCCAGGGTTCCAGCAGCACAGCTGGGCATGGGAGCATGGTGACGTGGGCACTGTGACATTCCTAAGCCCCAGCCCCTATTGTAATTGAGGTGCTGACACAGCTGTCTCGGGGCTCAAGAATGGGACTGGGAAGGAGCTTGCAAGTGGAAGCTAGGGATGCAAGAGGCTTCCAAGAGCTAAGGAAACTGGGGAGCAGGGATGAAAGAGGAATGATGTAAACGTAAAAAGTATAAAATACTAACACTATGAGATGTTACCAATAAGCACAGAGTGTGGCAGAGGAACTTAATAAATGTGTTTAAGAAAGGAAAGGACATTGCAAAGAGACTCAATTCACCTTTGCCAGATCAGTTCCCATAACCAAGAGAGGAGTGGGACTCAGAAGTCTTCACACCCAAAAACACCACTATTCCTTGATTATGTCATTTGAAAAAAATCTAGTGTTAAGAGTCTGAAAGATGTGAGAAAACAGATGGTTATAAAGAAGGAGGTGAAGCAGGGAAGGAAGTGGGGGAGAACACAGAGGTTTCAGAGGGAGACTCTCACAGCCCCTACAGCACCCATCACCTGTCGACAGGACAGTTCCACGGTGCCAAGTGCACTGCTAAATGTGTTCTCGGCCTCTCCCCGCACCGAGCTTACCAATACGCACCGTAAGTGTTAGACTACATGGCACAGGATATAAATGCAGCAGAACTGAGTGGGAGAAATTAGCAAGAGGAAAATACAGAGACAGCATCATGGAAGATTGTACTGGCTGTGAACACCATGGACCATGTGAATACAGGGAGAAAAGACACACTCCATACAGTCGAAGCATGAACAGAAGTGTGAAGGGGGAGCAAACATGCCAAGTGCAAAGAATGAAGGAGACAGCCTTGTTCTATGAAGGAGTGTGTGTGTGTGTGTGTGTGTGTGTGTGTGTGTGTGTGAGTGTGTGAGTGTGTGTGTGTTAGGAAGGGGGTGATAGCATATTATAAAGAGCCTTGGTAGCCAGACAAAGGAGTCTGGATCAATATGGTAGGCAGTAGGGACCTGCTGTAGGTCCTTGGCATCCAAGGAGTACGATCCAAGCCAGGTTTTGGAAAGTTTCATCTGGTATTTGTGTAAGAAGGTAGACTGGAGGGGAAGAGGGAATTAGGGGTGCTGGAGGCAGCCGGGGCACCTTGGATTGATGATTTGTCGTCTTTTCTCCTGCAGCACACATCTATATTGCCCTTCTCTCTGGCTGAAGTCATCCTCAGGCCACACTGCTATCCACTGAAGAAGAAAGGACTCACCTTGTTGGCTGTTGCTAGCCTTGCTTATGTCAGCAGGTAAGAGTTGCAGAGAGAAAATCAACTTAGACTTGTCATTCCAGACTCTGAGGAATATTCCAGAAGAAGCGCACTGCTCTATAAGAGTGCCTTTATCTTGGGTTAACAGGGATTTTGCCATCTTTAAATTTCAGGAAAAAAGGAACCTTAGTGTTTCCTTTTGATACTCACTGAAACATCAAATGCCCAAGAATACACAGGTATGCGTGCACACACAGAGCAAGTCATGAGTTCCCCCTCCCTCTCATGAAGAATTAATCGTTGTAAAGCTACACATGTTACTTTCCCTTGGAAAACATTAATCTTTGGTTTCATTTGTAATTAACATGTTTGAATGGCTGAATGATCTAAGGCATCTAAATATATTCCATCTAAAAGGGCACTTGACAGGCTGATCAGGCAAGGTTTGGTTCATTCCTGTTGCCTGTATTATTATGGGCTTAGTTGCATCAACATCTGGCACTGGAGCCCTGAAAGGGCATTTGGGCAATTGCCCAGGGGCCTGTAGAACAGCCTAACTGGAGGCATGAGAGAGAATTTAAGTAGCTGGCCTAGATTTCATCATTCAACCACCTGGTGACACTAATTCTCTGGAATTGTGCCCAATGTCTGTAATCAAGGGAAAGTGCTTGGCCTTCCACCTAGCAACTGGAGAACCCCCCCTTTCTACTCTACAGCCTTCACCCCTACAGCATGCTCTTGCTCTACTGGGAGGGGCATGCCAAGCATAATACCTGCAGTTGGAAGCGAATCATAATGTTCCTACTCTAGCCTAGCCTCACATAAGCTTTTCACATCTGCCAATCCGGATAATCCCCCACTCCCTATGTGAGGGGTAGTTTCACTCAGGGCAGTGCTCTGCAGGAGACGGAACCCAGGAAAAGAACGCATTCCAAAGGACTGGTCTCCAGCGGTGCCTGCTTCATGTGCTTCAGCAGCCTCTGTCTTAGAGCCAGTAACCTTTGTGCCCAGAGCTCAGGTGATGGTTCCTGCCTAGCCTTTCCTTCCCTTTTGCAAGGTATGTTCCTCCCACCCTTCTGCACCCTTCTTTCCCCGAGTGCCTAAAGTCGTTCGTGTTTCACCTGTCTTAAAAGAAAGCACTTGTTCAGTAAATCCACCCCAAGACTCAATTGATTGACACTGTTCACTAGCCTGGGGCCTTTGCATTTTAACAAAGGACACTTTTAGAGAATAAGGCATAAATTGGGGACCTACTGGTAGTTGAGGTCTGGAGCACTGTGTTGAGAAGATTCTGAGGCCCTACCAAAAGAGTTGTGCTATCATTTAGCAATATCTGCCTTTAGCATGTGAATGGAGAGTGGTGGGACATGCGCCATGTATATTCCAAGTCTGGCTTAACCCAAAGGAATAAATCCCTAAAGACAGAATATCTAGGACCTGGGGTCGGGTAAGATATACACAAAAGATATATTTTTTTTCTCTTGTATGTGTTGAGGAGAAGCAGGGTGGTAGCTGGTTGATTATGCACATGAATTTCCATACTCTGTGTTTTTGGTGGGCTTTAATCTGATTTATTCTTTCTTGCCAAGTATAACTTTCAGAGTTCATATATGAGATAGCACTTTTGGTCTATTAATTTTCTTCTACCTAAGGACTTGGAAGTTGATCATCAATCCTAATATCTACCCTTGCTCTTTTCCTCCTCAGAAACCAAGAAGGTAACAGAGCACCTAAGGTGACTGGTATTGGGGGAAAATTGTGGTACCCATAAGGATGAAAAGTAGTGGTCGAGAGGGTCTGGCTCATTGGTGCCTGGGCGTGAGCTCTGACAATGCAGGGAACTGGGGTGCTGGAGAAAGGAAGTGCAGCAAGATGGTCAGGAGTGAACACATCACACGTCCAGTCAATTATTCCTCAGTGCCAGGCACTGTGCTAAGGTATGAGGATATAGAGATGTACAAGACACCATGCTGCCTTTAGGGACTGCCTGGGAGAGAGGAAAGTACAGAAACAATGGGAAGACAGGGTGGTGAGACTCTAACGGGGATAAGCGCAGGGTGCTGGGCGATGTGGAGGACTGGCTTCTTAAAGGAAGTGGTGTCTAAGCTGAGATGCAAAGAATAAGTAGAAATAAGTCAAAAGAGATATGGAAAAGACCTTCAGGCAGAGGGAATAGCATCTGTGAAAGGCTGGAGGAGCTGAGGGCGTGGCTGAACTGTAGGACGGGGAGAAGTTAGTGAATTTGGACTTTGAAAATGAGGGCTTTTCTATGCAAAAGTTATAAGCAGAGAAGTGAAATAACATGGCTTATGTAAGAAAGATGATTAGAAAGATGATGCTGGCTGAAGTACGGAAATTAAAGAGGAATCAGACAGGGAGATCAGCTGGTGGCATTTGCGGTAAGTCAAGAGAGCTGATGTTGGCCCGCAGGTGACAATATCAGTCAATCCGCGAAGAGTCAGAGAGGGTGGGTGGTGGAAGGCAACTCAGAGGTCATCCAGCTTCGGAGACCTGAAGCCCCACTGGGCTAAGTGACGTGTCCAAGGTCGCGTGGCCGGGGAAAATGAAAGCTGAGACTTAACTCAAGGACTTCTATTTCCAAATCCAGTTCTCTTTTCCATCTGTATTCAGATGGTCAGGTATTTGTTCAGCTCCCTGTTTGTGTAAAACACACTCTGCTGAATGCTGAAGGGGTGAGAACGCAAAACAGCTTTACCATGATCTCTACAGTCTAAATGCTTTCACCATGTTGCTCCTTCCAGCTCTGTGCTCTGATTGTATGTTACAGTGATGTAATGGGGCAAATGAAGGGAAGGGATGGAGACCTATCACTAGCAGGAATGTGACTGGGTAGACCCTGGCAGGGAGCTGAAGTGGTTTGGGATTTGGACTTTCTTATCACTAGTGAAGTACAGAGTCAGCGTTCTGTCCAGTAGGGCCTCATGTTTGCTGGAGTGAAGCAAATACACCTGTACGCAGGCGTTTTATGCTGCCCTATTGATTGAAGCTTCCCTCCCTGTCCGTTGCCTAATTAGGGGAGCTCAGACTCCTTGCTGCCAGCTGCCTCTACCCTTACACAATACTCTGGGGGCACAGGCACCTTCATGGCCACGGATGGTCAGCAACAAGTTCCACAAGCTGGGTATGTCCATGGAGGTATTTTAGGGAAGCGGCTATAGGTCAGCTGTTAGGCGTGCCAGTTTGGATGCTCAAATGGGGAAACAGCATAGCAGGAATGAGGTAAAGAATACAGTCCCGGGCCACAGAGAGCGTGAGAAACAAACATGAGTCAAAAAAACGGCAATAACCCTGAGCTGGAGAAGTACTTCACTGCTGGAACCATGTTACAGTGACCTAAAAATATCCACCGAGACCATGGGGACCGCCTCATATGTGGCACTTGCTTTTTATTATTTATCAGATTGCAAAATTGGAGGGCTGGCCCCTAAGCGGGAAAATAAAGCTTTGCAAAGTAGTAATAACTGTAAATCTTTCGTTTCCTTTGGAAAGCATTAGTCATCTATATATATGGTAGCTCACTTACTCCCCGCTTCTCTCTCACCCCAAAACATATCGCCTAGCTCTTCCTAAGAAGCAGGAAAATAGAAACGTTCCTACTGCTGGCTCTTACTCATTCTTTTATTGAACAAATATTTCCCCTAACACAGGGCTGGTCCTGCTGGGAAAAGCAAAGTTATATAAGGCCAAGCCCCAGCCCGTAGGGGGTTTGTACCTCGTAAGTGGAGATGAGCCATGCATACAAATTATAAGAACACGAGATGGGAAGGAATAAAATGTCATAACAAATACGAGGTGCCAAAGGGAACACAAGGAGGAAGCAGTTACATCTGACTGGGCAGCGTGGGAAGGACTTCATGAAAGGTGTCACTGGATCCGGGCCCTGAAGGACTGGCTGGATTGGAGCAGCAAAAACTGGGAGAAAGCGAACACTGCACAATCGCAAAGCCAAGGGGGCACACATCACGTTGAAGCAATGGCTAGCAATTCACTTTAGCTGGACCTACTAGTGAAAGAGACGAACAGGAAATCACCCTGAAACTGCCCGCTCACAGAGTCCTGCAGGCAGCAGGCTGGAGGAGGCTGGACATGGTACAGACAATGTGAGATGTGTTTGCTGCTGTTGTTTGTTTGCCATGGAGGTAGGAGTGAGAATTCTTAGTAACATGGCCAGACAATTATGCTTTAAAATGACTATCTTGACAATAGTGCTTAAAATAGATTGAAGTGGCAAGACATGGGAAGCACAACAGAATAAAGCAACACACGAATAAAGGTTAGCCGGGATGCTCGTAAGTCATCTAGTTCAATCACAATGGTTTATTCTTCATCCACGGATATTTCATAGCTCCAGTGTCATCCCATATCTGGATGCTTGGAACACCCTTCTGCAGGTGGTCCAGTCCGCCAGGACCTCCATCTCTAAAATATTCTAATAATCCAGTGAGTGCTCACACATGCCCATGTAGTACACAGTCCTGAGAATCACTCTCCCACACAGACTGTAAAGCCACAATACCCAGTCTCCTGGATCCAGCACCTCCACGGGGCTTGCTTTAAGGTTAGCATGCCTCCCCCGCTGCTGTCACTGCCAACAATGCCACTGCCCATTAGTCTCCTACGTTGGTGCAAGTAGAACAATGCTACTGGCTATTGCAACAGCCCCAGTTGGCCTGCAGTGCACCACCGCCTTGCTCTTGGTAGACCAGAAATCAGCTGATGCTGTATTTGTCTCTGCTAGCGTGTAAGGTATTGCATGCCAAGTGCAAGTATCATACAGATATACAGCTGTAACCCAGCCTGGGGAAAGATATTTTTAAAGTCACCTCTCGATAGCAGTTCCAATGGGGCAAGAGAGATGATTTCTTTCTTCTATTCTATGCTCACTCAGGTGAGGCCCCAGAGCAAAGCTGCCTGGACACCCCAAGTGTAATAACCCTCTAAATCCGTGCACCCGTTTACACATGCACACTTACACATATACACATCTTACGCCCAGAAGCCATTAGAAACTGCCAGAG